AAAAGAAGGGTGCACATTCTGGAAATGCTAGGCTGGGCCACAAATGATGTCAAGGAGGGGATCATGGGCAGGATGACTTGGTTTAAAAAGAGGTAAGTTATCAAGTCTGTTTTGGTGAAAATGTGTGAATACAGATGAGCAGAAGTGAAAGGTGTGTTTACGCAAGTAATAATTAATTACAATGTTTATGTGCTTCATATACAATACAAATATTCAACAATCTGCTTGACATGTATGCATATACAATACAAATATTCAACAATCTGCTTGACATATACAAAGGAAGAAAAATACACACTACCTCAAAAATTCATACGTGTACGTGTGGCATGGCCCATAGTATTCATGCAATACAAATGACAATGAATACAGTTCAGATTAATTCCAAACACAAATGCAAAGGATACGAATATATCAGTATACCTTAAAATCTAAATATCTAAATCCACACAATGCTGTATCAGAGAAAATAATATACATTATTAGCAGCACAACTAGCTCACCTCTATACAGATGATGTAGTCCTGTATACGTGTTTTCAACTCCTGAGCCAATGATCCCCTAAAAGCTCCCACATAAAATAGAAATGCAACAGCCACACTTTGCCACCATGTGAGGAAGACAATTGACTTAAAAGTTAGAAACTTTGCCAATGGTTTGATTGGTTTCAACTTATCTTTAATAACAGAATAGAATTTGTACAAGGCAATATAGGGCCCATGTCTGACTAAAGTTAAGAACTAGTGCCAAGTAGGGATACCTGCAAGCACAACAGTGTAAGACTTGAGGGGACACAAAATTACAAAATTACTGCTACCCAACCTTGCACACCCTCACCACAAAAAAGTTAAAGGTATTATCATCAATATTTATCTTTTCAATTGACATATAACTATACATAACTCTCTCAGTGCTCTTGATATTAATTATATATATATATATATATATATATATATATGTACATATATATATATTATATGTACATATATACGTATATATGTATGTATACATATGTATATGTACGTATATATGTATGTATACATACGTATATGTACGTATATATGTATGTATACATACGTATATGTACGTACATACATACATACATACATACATATATACATATATACATACATATATACATACATATATACATATATATATATATATACACACATACATATTGTCAACATATTTATCCTAATTCATCATGATTATATTGTGTCAAGGATTACCCTATTTATCATGATTATATTGTGTATAGGGTTATCCTATTTATCATGTACTCTTGTATAAATTTATTCTTATAAATAGAAGATTATGAGAGGATCAATCAAGCCCTCCAGAATTATTTTACAGTTTAATTCTCAAGTTATTTTACAGTCCGCTGCCACCCGCCACCGTCCGCCATTTCCCACCGCCGGCCACCATCGTTGCCGTCGGCCGCTATTAGTCTTCGGCAATCATCCGCCATCGTCGGCCGCCGTCCGACACTGCCGGCCACCGTCCGCAGCTAGCCGCCGTCAGCCACTGTCATAGTTTTGTCCATCTAAACCCTTAGGGTTTTCTTGTTCCTTGCTGGTACGATTCGTCTTATTCAAAGATGGCATCTAGCAGTACTCTTTCCTTCTCCAAAAGTCCATCAATTACCTCCGAAAAGCTAAATGGAAAAAATTGTCTGTCATGGTCTGCTACTGTTGAAATGTGGTTCCTTGGCCAAGGACATTATGACCACCTTGAGCGAGATGGAAGCCATGTGCCAACTGAAAAGGTTGATCAGTGGAAACAAGCAGATTTCCAGTTGTGTGCCCTGTTATGGCAATTAGTGGAACCCAAACTTCTTATACTTCTGAGAACTTTCAAAACTTGTCACTCCTTTTGGAAGGAAGCTCAAAGCATTTATGCCAACGATATTCAACGTCTCTATGACACCTGCAAACAAGCTTGCATCTCTTAAAATGGCAACCGTGATATGGTGTCTTTCATGGCTAAAGCCCAATCTGCTATCGAAGAACTCAAGATGTTTTTGGAAGCGAACCCATTAGAGGATATCAAAATGAAACAGACAAATTTTACATGGTGTTGATCCTTCGTGCCCTACATTCTGATTTTGATCATCTCAGAGATCAATTTCTGACCAGTCATGAGGTCCCCCTCCATGGAAACATTGACCACTCGCCTTCTGCGTGGCCCAGTACCTCAAACTTAGGAAGCGCATGAACTAGTGGAACCATCTATCATGGTTGCCACACGAGGAAGAGGAGGACGTGGCACTAGAGGAGGAAGACGAGGAGGTCGGGGACGTCCTCAATGCACATATTGTAAAAGGATGGGTCACACTCAAGAGAATTGCTACTCCTTACATGGTTTCCCTTCCAAAGCTACCAATATTTCGAAGACTGGAACTTCCACTTCGAAGACTTAAACTTCTACTTCTAAGTTCTCCGAGGATGAATATCAAGAGTATGTAAGGTTTAAAGTCTAACAGTTTGGAACAACCATCTTAATCTCCCAGTACATCAACAACCTGTGTTTCTCAATCCATGGAAGGTCAAAATTCATTGGTAATTGACTCAGGTGTTCTGATAACATTTCTGGTATACCTCTTTGTTCTCATCTATTTCCTTTCGTGAAAAACCTCATTTCATAACCCTTGCAAATGGATCTAAAACTTCCTCCAAAGGAGTCGCTCATGTTTCCTTGTCTCCCTCCCTTAATCTCAACTTATTCTTTTTGTCCCTAATTGTCCTTTTAATTTAATTTCCCTAAGCCAGTTTACCAGAATGTTAAATTGTTTAATAACCTTTTGATCACAAATATTTTGTTATACAGGAACAAGGTTCGGGGAGACAGATTGGAGAAGGATATGAAGCTGGCAGATAATACCATTTTGGATCTCGTCCAAGGGTGTCCTGTGTTGTTGCTCCTAATTCTAAAATGGTACATGATCGACTTAGCCATCCTCATTTTTCCAAATTAAAAAAGATGTGTCCTAAACTTAGTGGTCTCCAGACCTTAGAATGTGAGTCATGTTAATTAGGAAAACATGTTAGATTCTTTCCTTTCCTAAAAGGTCTCAATCAATATGTAATTTCTAGTTTTTCCATCATCCATTCTGATATATGGGAGCCTAGTCTATCTCCTCCTTTGATTTTAGGTATTTTGTTACCTTCATTGATAAATATTCAAGATGTACTTGAGTTTATCTTATGAAAAATTGTTCTAAATTGTTAGTCATTCTTTACATAATGAAATCAAGAATCCAATTGGTCAAAAGTTAATCAAAATATTAAGAAGTGATAATGCAAAAAGAGTATTTCTCATTCCTCCTTTTCTGCCATCTTGAGTTCCCATGGTATCTTGGAACAGTGTATAGTCTAATGTCCTCTACCCGCAGCAAAATGGTATAGCAAAACAAAAAAATAGACACTTGGTTGAAACTGCTCGTACCCTTTTGCTTGGTGCCCATATTCTTGTCCATCATTGGGGGATGTCATCTTAACTGCATGTTATCTTATTAATAAGATGCCCTCCTCCTCTCTTGATAATAAAGTCCCTTTCTCCATTCTGTTTCTTAATTATCCTCTCTTTCATACATCTCCCCCCAAGTGTTTGGTTGTGTATGTTTTGTTCATGACATGTCTTTAGGTCTAGACAAACTCTCTGCTCGCGCTCTCAAATGTGTCTTCTTAGCCTATTCTCGACTTCAAAAAGGATATCGGTGTTACTCTCCTGAAACTAAGAAGTATTACATGTTTGTCAATGTCACATTCTTTGAACAAACTCCTTACTTCTCTCCATTTGTTCAGGATGTTTCTATCCTCCAACAGGTCCTTCCTATTCCAGTGGCCGAGTCAAATAGTTCCACTGAGAATAGGAATGACATGTCTCTATCATTCCAAGTCTTGATCACAATCATCCTGAACCCGTTTTTCCACATACTGAGATCATGCCACACAGGGCCCTAATGGATAGTCCACCTCCCCAAGACAATGGTGAATCTCCTACTTCAGATTCTTCTCCTTCGTCACCTCCTCCCACACCTCCTAGTGCAAATGATTCAGCATGGCCTATTGCTCTCAGAAAAGGTATACGTTCCACTCGAAACCCTCATCCCATTTATAATTTCCTTAGCTATCATCGTTTGACGCCCTCCTATTTTTCTCTTTTATCCTCAGTGTCTTGTTGTTATACCAAGAATGTGAAAAAGAAGCACTTGATCATCTTGGATGGCGACAAGCTATGATTGCAGAAATGTAGGCTCATGACCACAGTAATACTTGGGAGCTGGTGCCCCTTCCCCCGGGCAAAAAGGCGGTTGGTTGTCAATGGGTGTATGCAGTTAAAGTCAACCCTGACGGTGAAATTGATTGGCTCAAAGCCCGACTTGTTGCAAAAGGTTACACTCAGGTTTATGGTCTTGATTATTATGACACTTTCTCTCCTGTTCATGGCAGCCATTGTATGGCCAGTTCATCACATGTATATCAGAATGCCTTCTACATGGTGAGGCAAACTACAGCGATCTTTCTATGGCCCTCTCAAGCATAATCACCAGTGGCGGTTTGGAAACTTGCTCCATTGTTCAAAATTTGGGTAAAAGCAGGAAGTAAGCAGATCATTTGGTTTTTTACTCTCATCTTCTATAGGAAATGTGTTTACTTAATAGTATATGTTGATGATATTGTCATTACAGGGGATGATGTTGGAATATCTCAACTGAAAGAGTACTTGTACATACATTTTCAAACCAAGGATCTTGGAAGTCTTAAATATTTCTTAGCCATTGAATTAGCGCAATCAAAAGATGGAGGTGTAATTCCCAAAAGGAAGATGCTCTTGATATATTACAAGAAACAGGCATGATTGATTGCAGACCGGTTAGACCGTCCCATGGACCCCAAAACCAGAGATAAAGACAGAAGAAGGGAATTATCTCCGATCCAGAGGAGGTTATAGTGAGGCTGGTTGGAAAAAATGATTGATTCTTTTTTTTGTGACCAGTGACTGCTTTCCTTTAAAACCGAGACAGGTTCATTTTATTCTGTTATTCAAGGGTAGACTGGTTAGCTGTTGTATGTAAAGTAGTATGTCACGTCATGTTAAGTTAGGTTATGTTTAAACTATAAATTCTTGTGTTGGGTGTCTTACTTGAAACAAAATATTCAATTATTCTGATGTTCTGGGAAAACCTTTTTCATGTGGTTTGGCTTCTTAAAATTTGTGAATAGATGGGCGTGGCTGCTGTTGTGCACCTTTATGTCTTCCCAGCAGAACCTTACAAAAGGGGGGAGAGGTGTGTCCGTAATGTAGCAGTGATGACTGACTATGCCTCGCTAGGATCTCCACCAGACCCCGAGGAGGTTCGTGACTGTCAGCGCTCGACGAGAACATGGCTGGGAGCTTATGAGAGAGAAAAACCTATGAAATTTACCCAGAGTGTTCGGGACGTTGTTGTTGGAAGTGGTGAAATTGTGAGATATGAACACTTGAACCTGCTCCACCTGTACATCTTGTCATGTTTCTAATTGTGAGATATCTACTGTCTTTTATGTTTCAGATTGTCGATGACATGATATTTACAGTTTCTCATGTGGTGGAGCCTGTTGAGAGGGGCATTGCAAAGATAAACAAAACCTTCCATCAGATATCAGAAAATGTGAAACGCCATGAGCAGCGGACGCAAATCGCCAAGGATGATTGTTACCTTGTTCCCTTGCGATCACGAATACCAGAATTTTCTGACGTTCATGATAGTATGGGTGATGGAAGTTTCAGTGATAGTGGCTTATCCAGTGGAAAACGACAGTATTCTCAATTAAAAGCAGGAACCTCCAGAAGTAGAAGATAGTGTTTTTTTAACAGTTCAGTGTATATATAGTTACACACGAATCGACGTGAAATTTTATACTACGTCGTTATATTTCGGTGAAAGTGCTGAAATATAAGTGTATATATTTAACTTGAGGTGATGGATTGAGACACTGAATAATACCTGCTATACGTGTAACATATCATCAAGGTGTATGCGTCATGTGTAGTGCTCCTCGTAGATGTTGAAGGATTATTATAGGTTCCACTTCAATTTTTTACATTTAATGATATGTTTGTTTTAGCTGGTCTTTTACTTTGTAAGGAGAAAAAAAATCCTATCATCTCATAGATGATGTGCTTTGTTGGTAAACTTCTCTATGTTAGTGTTTTGTATGAAAGAGTGAAATTAATTTTTCGAAGTTCAATGAGTATATACGAGATGTCAATGTCTTCAAATGAGTTTATATGCAAACATATTGTCTAAAACAGTTTACTT